TTTGAGTGGAGTGTCCAGAAAAGCTCTATATAAGTGTAAGCAATTATTATTATTATTATAATTGCTTACACTTATGTAGCACTTTTCTGGACACTCCACTCAAAGCGCTTTACAGGTAATGGGGATCCCCCCTGGGTCCGCATACAATGCGATATGGCTAGATTCTTCTGTCACATACTTGGGGTTTTCAGTCCTGGCCCTGGGAGACCCCTGCGTCCTCTGGTTTTAATTTCGGTTTGAGGCCTTCGTTAAATTTGCTTACAGCTGTTAAAAAGCTGAATGGGTTCTGTACCTGATGTCAACCCTTCACTAGTTACTTAGGGCCTGAGCTGCCCTCATTCCCGTGTGTCAGCTGAAATGTGACCAATTGTACTGAAGCAAGAGGAAAAAAGAAAAGCACTCACTCAGCGTGGGAGGGTGAGAAACGTTCTCCTTCCCCCTTTTTTTTTTTTAGAAATAAGGGAGGATGTACTTCGTTAGTAAAGGAGAGCCTGCATGAGCTTGTGAATGCTGAGATTGTTGGAAATGTGCGAAAATAAAGTCTGATGGAGCAGCTAGATCCAGGCAGCAGATATGAGTGGTGATTCTGGGCTCAGGTGACATGCATGCTGGCCGACTCAGGGCTCCCCTGGGATCAGGTCTGGAAGCCCCTGAGATGTGTGCTGGAGTAAGCAGTGAAGTCGGGGCGTTTGCCTCTGCTCCCCAGGGTGCTGCAGCAATGTGAGGCGGCTCTCGGCGATGTGCTCCCCGAGCTGGTCAGGCAGGACGAGCTGGAGCTGCCTGCGTCCGTGAAGGTGCCCTTCCTGATGGTGAGTGGAGCCTGTCTGACCTCCCCCCGACCCCTGCGTTCGGCCCCTGTTCCTGCAGAATCCCTGTCCCTCTCGATCCTTTTCGCTCTCAGTTGTTAGAGGAGAAAGATAGATACTTTATTGATCCCGTGAGGGGAATTCCAGTGCAACAGCAGCTTAACACAGCAACAGTGTAACGAATGATACAATAATAATAATACAATACGTACAATTCAATCAGTACAGTGAGGGGTGCACTAAGAAGAGTTACTCACAGTCCAGAACACACAAAGAACAAACCAGAACAGAACAGTACACAAAAAGTTGTATTGCACAATTTAAATAAAAATGTGTTGCACAGGTCCCTGGCATATATTGCACAAAGGTGTGCTGTTGTATTGCTGTGGATTTTGTAACCAGCAAGCGTTTTTACTAACTTGGTTTTTCCTGTCTGTCAGTTCTGTCTCTTCAATCTGGAGACACCTACAGCTGTTGGTGTCAGTATGGCACCTTTGCAAACGAGCACGTTTGTTCATTAGTCTTTCTGATTTGGAGAAAAAAGTTCCTTAATGTTACAAAAAGGACACATCTGTCATGAGGCTGAGATTCAAGGTTTATTTTTATGAAGCTCATCTTTCTGGGGTTGTGTATTTTTAAGATGACTTTCTGGAGTTTATAGTATATGGGTTTTCTGGAGTTTAAATTTATACAATAACTCCAGAATACTCATATATTGTCATAGATATTTATACTGTGATCCAAATCTTTTTTTCTCTCTCCTCTTTTATTCTGTCCTGTTTCTCCCCCTCGGTGTTCCCGTGTCCCGTTGGTGTTATTCCCTCTCCGCGAGTCTGCAGGACAGCCGGGAGAAACACAAGGTGCTGGTCCGCCAGCTCTGGGTGCTCGACTCCTTGCTCTCTCTGCTGGAGACGCTGGACACGTCCACCCTGTCAGAAGGCCGCAGCAGCGTGGACACAGGCAAGAGGCACTGACTTCGCTGGCAATGTGGGACCCTGTGTCTCACACATTCCAGCAGAGGCACCCCCCTCTCACTCTCTGTCCCACTCAAACACTCTTCACTTGCTCACTGTACTCTAGGGCTGTGACTGTGTGTTTACTGTTGTGGATCTCTTGGAGGAAAACTGGGCAGCTGTGATCCCTAAGAGTTGTGTTGCTATGACCCTTCTGTGTGTGTCTGTCTGTGGTTGTCTGTCTCTGTTTGTTTCAGCGATTGTCTGTGTGTCTCTGTGTCTGTGATTGTCAGTGCGTCTCTGTGTCTCTGTCTGTATGTGTCTCTGTGTCTGACTGCGATTGTCTGTGATTGTGTGTCTCTCTGTGTCTCTGTGACAATCTGTCTGCCTCTGTGTCTGTCTGCGATTGTCTGTGTGTCTCTGTGTCTGTCTGCAATTATCTGTCTGTGTGTCTGTGAGTGTCTCTGTCTGTCTGTGATTTTCTGTGAGTGTGTGTGCCTCTTTGTCTGCAATTGTCTTTGTGTGTATCTGCAATTGTCGGTGTCTGTCTGTGATTGTCTGTGTGTGTCTCTGTGTCTGTCTGCGATTGTCTGCGATTGTCTGCGATTGTCTGCGATTGTCTGTGTCTGTCTGTGTGTGTCTCTGTGTCTGTCTGTGATTGTCTGTGTCAGTGCATGTCTGTCCTTGTCTCTGACTGTGTCCCCGCCTGTGTCTGTAGGAACAGAGGATCGTGACCAATGGAAGGCCCTTAAATCTCAGTACAAGGACGAGATCCAGGAGGTGGAGTCCTTGATCACTGTCTTCAAGGAGAAGGTAGACGAGGTCCTGGCCAGGAAGGAGGCGCTGTGCCAGCTGCTGCACACACTGGAGCAGAAGGTGGGGCGCCACACCCTCCGCCGGCCCCTGAGTCCCGAGCGACAGACAGGTCTTTACTGCCTCCTGTCTGGCGAACGGGGATGATCCTCTCCATCTGAATTTCACCCTGCAAGCAGTAGTCATGTTCTTAGTAGAAAATCACGCCAATAGAACCGAAAATCAAAATATTTGACCAGTGTTGTGGTTCATGCTGCGTATGACTTGGGAGTGATTATTGATCCAATAACCATGAGTCCTCTAGCTTTCCTATGACGTGTATTAACCCCCCCTGTCCGGCCCCACACTTCCTCAGCTGAGGAAGAACTGGAACAGGCCCTGAAGTGCATTGCTGCTGCTGGAGCAGCAGGTGGCGATCTCATTTCCTTCTCGAGAGTACCTCCTGTGCTTTCCAGAACAGCATCTGATTCCAACCCCTGATTCAGCCCCTTGCACAAAAAATGCATTCTTATGGAGCAGCAGCTCCTTTGCCAGCGACCCCACCAGCCCCGGTTTTATCTGAGCGCACATGTCTTTGACTTTGTGCGGAATTATTTTATTTTTTTCCCCCCAGAAGGAGGAATGCAAAGAAAAACAGCGAATCAAAGCAGGAAAACAGCAGAAGGCCAGGGTAGGTAGGGTCCCTTCTCCGTGTCGCCCTGTTTTCTGCTGCAGCCGGTCCTCGGGCTCGGTTCTGACCCCTCTCCCCCTGTGCCGTGCCGTGCCAGGAGCGGGCCGAGAGGGTCTGCGCCCGGGTGCAGGAGCTGGAGGCGGCCCTGGAGCGCGGGAGGCACGGCCTGCAGCTCAGCGGGCAGCGCGTGTCCGAGCTGCAGGCCCAGCTGAGCGGCGCCCAGCAGAGTCTGGACACCTGGAGCCGCGCGCACAGCAGGTCAGAGCCGGCCTGCCGGTCCCCGAGCTCTCAGAGGTTTCCCCTTCATCTGCTGTGTCCTTAACGTGGTGACTGACGTCGGGACAGCTTACGGTAGCAGAGAGACGCTCACTTGCGATCGTGCTGTAGTTGTTGCAAGGTTAACTTTTATACTTGCTCTCCCCAACCATCCTGTTTACCCTGTTGCTTTGTTCCTGCTCTTCCCTTTGCCCTTCCCTGCCCCCCCCCCCACTGCGCCCCTGTCTCCCCAGGCTGCAGCTGGAGTTGCAGCGACTGGACGGGCTGAGCGGCGTGCGCGTGCTGTCTGTGCGCGAGCGGGAGCTGCACGTGGAGCTCAATCCCAGGCTGCTCTGCCCCTCCCTGGATCTGCTGCCCTTATCGCTCTCTCTGCGCTGGACCTCCGATGACCTCTTCACTCTGCAGGTAGCCAAGTCCCACCCCCCCCCGTTCTGAACAGCTGCAAGTTTTTATCACGGTTGTTTTTTCGTGTGATCACACGGGGCAGCACAGGAGCACGTTCGTGTCTGAGCTGTTCTGTGCCCGTCTGGTCTCCAGCGTGCACAGATAGGGACTCTCCTGCATGTTCTAATGATCCCTTCCTGGAAGACCTCGAGGAACAGCCAGTTTTTCACACGCCTGGTCTAAATATCCATCTTGAATTCCTGACCGTATGTGTCTGACCCTGCATGCTGCACGAGGCCAAGCTGTCCTTTTTCCTAGCGTCTTGTCTCGGAGGTATCGTCCATGTGTATGTGCCAAGGCTGCGAGTTTGAGTTTAGTGCTGTACAGGAAGAGTGGTGGTGGGGTGGTGGTGTATTGTTGTGTTCTTTTCATATCCTGGCATTTCCGGACCTCCTCTCCCTTCTCCCTCTGTGTGCGCAGCTGTCCTCAGCAGGCAGGAGTCTGCTGGAGGACGTGTCGTCCCGGCGTCCCCTCCAAGACGCGAGGTCCGCTCTGCTGGAGGTGATGCAGCTCTATGTGGAGCAGGGCTCCCTCCTGGCCGAGATACAGCGCCTGCACTCCAGGTCAGACAGACGCACGTTTCGCCTGCCTTTCTGCTCTTTGCTTTTGTCCAACGCCTTTCCCCCAGGGAGAACGGTTACAAATCGAATTCTCTCTGAAAATAACGAGGCTTGGTCGAGTAGTCACTGATGGGCCTTCAGGCCTGTAGGAGGCGCTGTCTCGGAGAGTGAACCAGGCTCTGCCCTGTGGGTCTCCACAGATTTGCGATCGACTGGCGGCCTGCGGAGAGGAAGCTGGTGTTCCTGAAGACGGCTTCCATCGTGTGCACGCTGTCTGTAGAAGAGGGGTACCCCACCAGTGGGCGGGTCCAGCTGGTGTCAGTCCAGGGGGGGGCCCAGTCTCTCAACATCGCAGGACTACAGGTGAGCTGCTGTTTAATACCATACAGATGAGCCAAAGCATCTGCACAAAACTGACCAGTATTACAAATGTTAGCTCCATGGGAAATATGTTAGTGCTGTACAGCAGTTTAAACTGTCAGTAGTAGGACAATGCCTTTTAACCTTGCACTTAAAGGGTAGGTACTGTGTCTCACAAAACAAACCACTGCATCTGTTGGGCAATTCTGGGTCTTACTATATTCAATTTGTGAACGTTTTTCAGGTGTGATTACAAACCCTCAGTTTTAAATCTGTACCGTGGAACATAAAGTTAACAGTGGACTCAGTGAGTTCAGTTAGTTAAGTGCTGTTCCTTTGCTTTCCCCCAGCCTCCCCTGGGGAAGCCTTCCCTGACTGAGTGGCTGGAGTTCCTCACTTGCTGTCCTGACCTCTGACCTGCCACAGCCAGGGGACTCCGTACTCTGTAAATATTCTCCTTTCTGCCTGATTGTTTTTTGTTTTTCTTATGTCTTTCAAATAAAATGATCTTGCTACTTTACAAATAAGCAAAAGGTACCAGCTGATCACGTTTGTTCTGCAGCGTGCAGACGATGACTCCTTTGCGACAGGGCTCTCCAATCATCAATCATTATCACTTCTACAGAGTAGAGCAATCGAACAGTGATCACTTTAACATTTCAAAGATTTGTTGAGTAAAATAGTGATAATCTCAGACAATCTGAAGACTCTTCATCCCTCAAGGGCTGCCTTAACTAAGCAAATGTGCTTAATCACTCAGTAACCTCCAAGGGGTTTGCAGTCTTTACAATCTCTAAGATGGTGATTTAGGATGACCTGTAAGACTAACTGAACTGGGGCTCCCCAGGCAGGGCAGGAGACCCCCAATTCAGGAGAGCCTCTCCAGTACCAGGGTTTGGAAACCCCCCAATTTACAGTCTTATAAACAAAGTTTCTAAGCAATGTTCAGGGAACATGGACCTTGGGGAAATTTCTGCAGTAGCTTGTTTGTCCACTAGATGGGGGTGTTGGCTGACCCTTCAGACAGAGATCCCATTTCACAGGGTGGCTGTTATATCATCTTACAGAAACATGTTAATGTTTTAAACTCCTATCATGTAGCGGCTTCAAAGCTAAAATTATTCTTCTGGTGGCAAGGTAGAGAATGCGGCAAATATGCTGCATGCTCGTTCTGTAGGTCTGTCGTGGGGAGCTTGTCATACACAGGAATGGCATTGCTCCTAGCTGAAATCTGGAGGGAAGCTACAACTTGAATGAAATTGCCAAGCTCTGTTGTGCTGTGCATCATCCAGTTAGACACTAATGCTGCATAACAGCACAGTTTAAATGGAATGCTCTGGTTTTCCTCAGTGTTTCTCAAAGATCTTTTCTTTTGTTGTTTACATAAGAATGCTGGGGCCCTTGTTTCCTGGAACAGTAGACTTTCAGAAAGAATCTTTAACACTTATCTGTGTTGTCTAGAGAAGTATCTCCAGATCAAAACACTGTTCCTTAAACACCAGCTATTTACAGGACTCGTGTCCCCTGGCAGCTCCCCTATTACACAAGGCAGGGAATGGATTCTGATTTGCTCCTGTAGGATGAAAGGGTTGTCTCTGATTGGACCACAGAGCAGCCAATGGGGTCTGTGAACACTGCCCTGCCCACTTGACCACCTCATTTAAAAAGTTCAGTTCTTCAGAAAAAGCTTTACACAACAGTTTAAACAAGTGGTTTCGGTTAACTGTGGAAAGTTTTTTATAGCTCTGAACATCTTAGGGTATTTGCAAGGGTTTGGTTGCTTTGTGTTTTTATGAATCACGCCATCTATGTGATCTGACTAGCTACAATAAGTTATCAGCTTTAACTGAGAAAATTCTATACTTTTTTATAAATACTCATGTGCCAGTTTTCAGTCATGCTCAAAACATGTAATATTGTCTCTGCACTGCATTTTCCACCCCTGTTGTGTAACAGTTGTTGATTTGAAAGGGCAGCAGGGCTAATGGGACACTCTCCTTCCTGACTTAGGTAACTCTGCAGAGAGCCAATTAAACAGGCAACTTCCTTGCTTGACTAGAATAGGTTAGTCTGGGGTTCACACGCTGTACCCCCAGTTCCTGGTTTCCTACGCACACCTCCCAGATTAGCTGGGCCTAAATACTGCTTCCCCACACCTAAGACCTCACTTCTAATTGACGTATCTAATCAGCATGGAGATAAGGCAGGGTACTCAGTGCTATCTATGTGTGGGTGGCCAGAGCCCCACCCTCCTGCGCTTGCAGCTATCTAACAGAAGGGGGCGCTCCAGAGTAGAGCTCCTTCCCCTGTGCTTTCTGGATTTGGATCCAAGAGTAGTTGAGTTAACCAGTTAAGCCTTTTATGAAACCATTCCAACCCAAAAGGTCTGTGACATGCCTGGTCGTGGCATACATTGTAAGAGCACGTTTAAAATCATGCTTTTTATATAGAGCTGGAGATTGATCTGGATCTGTTCGGCTTTGCTGGTGTGAAAATCAGAAGACATGGGGCATTCTGGAGCAAACAGGTGGCCAAGTCCTGACATGGAGTATCATATGGAGTATATTTTTGCCCCCAAAGGATTTCAGGGGGATACACCCCTGTGTCTGCTGTGGGGTGGTGCTGGCAGTGGGAGCAGAGACACACACCAGGGGCTGCCGGTTAACTGGAGCTGCTAAAGGTGTTTTTTTTTAAATAGAAGTAAAAGTAAATGCAGGTATGTGAACTGGTAGGGTTATTTATTTGTAATCATTAAAGCAGCGTTACCACTGTCCAGCCTGACCTAGTGCAGGAGGTCAGCAAGCCTGGGCCTGCTCACCACTGGGGCGGGGGGACCTCTGAGGAACACCAGGTTGCTGTCCTTCAGTCCTCTAGGTGGCGCTGTTCCCTCTGGAGCAGAATGCCCTCCTGGTGCCCCAGTATAGTGACCAAGAACCCTGTGCTATAGGAGCTGCCGTTCTTCAGATGAGAGATTAACCTGAGGTCCTGCCTAAGAGAAGGGGTGTAAACTGCATCCTAAACCCTAGTTTTTGATTGTGCTAATTGTGTTAAGTCTTCTCCTTGCTAGCTTTTCTTTCTTCCAGTGAAGCTACCTTTTAAGGCAGTATATAAAACAGCTCCACCCTGGATGGGACGCCAATCCATCGCAGGGCCACACAAACACAGACAAGCGCACGTGTGAAACTGGAGAGCCCAGAGGACACCCACACGAACACGGGGAGAATACGCAAACTCCACGCTGACACCACTCCTCAGGCCCCCAGTGTTGGGAGGCGGCCATGCCCTCTAAAGTTTCCCCCTTAATTGAACTGGTGAGGCGGCTTCTCATCCTCCAGATCTGCAGTGCTGGTGAGGAGAATGAATGTCTGCAGAGGGTCGCCCCGGTGGGGCTGCACTGCAGCGCGAGAGGAGCTGACCCCTCCTGTATGTAAGGCATTGGGGTGTCCCTGGGGACGAAGAGCACTGAGCTAATAGAAGGAAGGAACAGGTAAAGGTTTATTCCATGCTGAAAAGAGTTGAAAAGAAACAATGTTTTGGCTGAGGAGCCTTCTTCACACCTGCAGAAGGCTCCACAGCTGTTGCGTTTCTCCTATTTTCAGTATGGAATAAACTAAAATAATTACTTATTTGGCACAGCAAGCAATAAAGCAGACCCATTGCTAGGAACAAACCCTGCCATCTGATATATAGCCCCTTTTTGGGGGTTCTGTTTTAATTCTTACATATACATTTTTTTTTAAAAAAGGCATCCCTCCACACCATATTTACAACGAAGTAATATGTACATCCTAGCAACAAAAAAACAGAATTACACATAAATTAGAAAGCAGACTACTAGATAACACGTCTGAATATTTTTAGTTTCTTTTCTCTCCTCCGACTTGTATTATAGAATTCTACATATAAACACACACTCTTATGTGATATGCACTGCAATTTTTTTTTCCTTTCCAAAAAATATATGGTACATCAATTTCAAACATCAGTATTTAGATATTTATAAATATTTACAAGTATGTACAATGTAAAGTTATAGGGAAAAAGTAGTTTTGTGTTTTAGTTATATATACTGTATAAACTTCATTCATAGCATTTACATAACCATGCATTTACAATGTACAGGAACACAGCGTTTCAATAACAGCCTGTCATAAGGTCCAGACACTCTCCCACGAGGTCTGTTCAGCAGTAAAGACGCTGACAGGAATCGTTTATTTTCCAGGGATCAAGGGACAAATCCTTTGTCAGCAACAAAGTTAGTGGAGAGGGCTTCCCATACTGTGGGGTATCTGCAGGGGGCAGTTTGTCCAGCTTTCCCAGAAGCTGACACCCTGTACCTTGATCCTGGGTCTTCCAGCAGTACTCCGTTTTCTGGCTTTCTTCTTCCTGTGATGCTGCAAGACCTCCAGCGTTCAGTGTGTCAGTGTTCAGGTCAAGGCGCTGCTGGAGTGTTTTTAGTGTAAGCACCAAAACACCTGGATCTTTTGGGGTGGATCATCAAGTGCCGTCCTTCCTCCCTTTAAAAATAAAGAGATGTCTCGCGATCGAACTCGAAATGTTGAATGTAGGCTCACATGCAGGCTCTCGTTGAGCCTGGTTTCTGGAGAGCAGCTCTCTTCATTTCGTTGCCGGTCCCTGGCGCTCGTGACGTTCCGCGGATTTGCCAGTCGAGGGTGGCGGCCCTCTAAAAGTATCGATAGAGTGGAATGAAAAGGCGCCGCCCCTCGCCGCTGCCCACCGCAGGCCAGAGAGTAAGTCGGTCATTGCGCCGTGATCTCCGCGGCTCGGCCCCGCGCCTGCAAGGAGGCGGGCTCTGTCCGGAAGTGGCTCTCCGGGGTCCCGGCGCTCAGGCGTCGATGCGGAAGGACAGCAGCTTCTCCGAGTGCATGTTGTTGAGCGTGCGCAGGTCCGGCAGCTTCAGGAGCAGCTTGGTGAAGCGGGACGAGTCGCCCGGGCAGCTCTTGGTCACCAGGGTGCGGAGCGCGCGGATCAGGGACTCCTGCAGCAGCTCCACGGAGTTCACGTTCTCGATCCCGGAGCGATCTGGGGGCGGAGGGCAGAGCCGTCAGTGTGTGGTGGCACTGTCCTACACTACAACATGCCCCCATTCCAGTAGTTTGCTCCCGTACAAAAGCAGGACTGCGCTACAGTGGAGTTACACCGTTACTCCTGGAGTTTGACCTGCCTGTCTGCATATCCTTGTGGATGTGTACTGAGTGGCAAGTAGGTGTCAAAAGCACACATCACACAGGTGACCAGTACAAGACTACAAACAAGGCATCCCAGAGGCCTAATGTCCTGACCACCCAGGAAAACCCCAGACTCTTGCCAGGTCTTCAACTCTTAATGCCTATAAAGGCCAGAATAAGGTTAAGCCACCATCTGAACTAAATAAAATCTAACCAGCGGTTAAATCTCTCTGTCTGCCAACCTGGATGCCACAAAATTAATGGGCACCTGTCCCCCTATGCCAAACTGCACCCACTGACCAGAAGAAGCCGTTTTTAACCCAGAGATTCTTCACTCAGGAGATCAGCGTTCCCTAGCAACTTGTGGAGGAGACAGGAGGACACAAAACTTAAAGCATCCTTATCATCCATAAGCATGATCTGGACAAGGACCTCACACCTGGCGTATGCTTTGGCATAAGTTTTGTGTCCTCCCGTCTGGTGCTCTGGTCTACCCGGAGCACCTCCACCGTGGGAGATAAAGAGATAGACCATGTCTGTCTGAACCTGCCCCAGCCAGCCTGTCTCCTTGTGTGGCACCCTCACCTGCAGAGACCAGGACAACTGCGGTAAAGAGCCCCAGCTCCTCGGCGGAGAGCTCCAGGCTGCCGAGTTTCTCGCTGAAGTCGAACATGGCGCCCAGGAGGTCCCCCATGCCCATCCCGCGCAGGGCCTCCAGGCTGTAGGTGGCGCCGGAGATGAAAGTGACGGTCTGCTCCTTCACGTCGAAGAGCGAGGCAAAGCGCACCATCAGGACCTGCCAGGGGGCGCCGAAGAGCACAGTGAGCGCACTGGGGGCAGAAATGCCAGCCTGTCCGCAGAGCTGGATTTTAACAGACAGCTGCTTTGCTGTTTTATTAATGCCCAGTTACTCCTTACGCAGGTAACTTGTAATTGTAATGCAGCACTTTTTAAAAGTAAATCCCATCCCCAACCCCGCCTGTATGAGCACTGATCTGTGTTGCGCTTGTTAAATTAAACCTAGACACAAAGTTCACAAACCGGTCATCTTGATAAATAATGAACGATGCACAATTCTGTTCAAACTCTGGTCAAGTGGGTCTTGTGTATTTTGGCCTTGCAGGTCACAGAGGGAGGCTAATCAGGGCTTCTAAAGAGCTGTGGTGCCCAGTTTGTTGTCAGGGTGGGTGTGTGTGTGCGCTGGGTGCTCATCCTAATGTGGCGGGTCTCCGTGGCGAAGTAGCCCCAGTGGCTGCTCCCCGGGGTGCCCTACCTCAAAGGTCCCGGCTTTGAGCAGGGTGACCTGGTCGTGCTGGGACAGCTCCCGGAAGCCGGGGATGTGCTTGGCGAACTCGACCACCTCGCGCACCGCCGGGGTGAAGCCGAGGGAGAACTCCTCCCAGATCTCCTGCGCCGACTTGCTGGGGTCCCCGTGGGGGTGCATGTTCATGGGACAGGCCTGCGGGGAGCACAGAGCGTCAAAGAGCCTGAATGGTAACAACCGCCCCCCCCCAACACACACACACTTGCACGTCAGCTTGTGGATGAGATCCCCCTCAGTTCCTCCGATCAGGGGTGTGTGTTCCTGATTGACCACAGGCTGCGGAGGGGGGGGGGGGTGTTTCCCCTCCTCCCTGTCTGTGGGGCTCCCTGACCCTACTGATCTGCATCACCTGTATCACAAGCAAAGCAGCTGTCTGTTTGAACAGAATTGTAAGACTTTTGGGTACTGTTCTGTTCTAGTTTGTTCTTTGCATGTCCTGGACTGTGAGTAACTCTTCTTAGTGCACTTCTCACTGTACTGATTGAATTGTACGTATTGTATTAATATTATTGTACCATTCGTTACACTGTGGCTGTGTTGTCTGTGTGAAGCTGCTGTTGCACGGCAATTTCCCTCACGGGATCAATAAAGTATCTATCTATCCCGTGAGCCATCAAGCCAGAGCCGAAAAGTTATCTTTCTGAAAGGGGTTTCACCTGGACAGAACGAAAATGTCTTTTTCCCTGAAACGGAGACGGCTCCTTTCTGACCGTGCTGTTGCTGCGGCGTGTGCAGAGCACTGTGTTGAAATGAGTCCGTACTGAGAGGTCAGTTTCAACGCCTTGCAGCAACACTCCTGCCAAGGTCTCCCGGATCACACGGAGATCCGGGTTCCTTCTGTTTCCTTCATCTTTTACTGAAGCCATCTGCTGCTCCCAGCAGAGCTCTGCTGCTCGTGTCCTGCGGTGTCTGGTTTCATTCGGGCGCAGAGCCTGACGGATCAGGTGGCTGTGAAGTGTGAGGTGGACAGCAGGAGGACAGCACTCACCAGCAAGACATCGGGGCGACTCTTCCAGGGGCAGTTCTGCCCCTGCAGGCCGTTGGCCGGCACACGGTTGGGCTCCTGCCCGTGGGCATGGGGCGCGGCGGGCACGAACAGGTTGCTGTGGCAGAGCCGGTGCCCGTTGGCGTTGTTCTGGTGGGGGAAGGCGTGGCCGTGCCCGTTGGCGTAGGGGCCGGCGGAGAGCAGGTGGCACCCGTTCTTCGGCGGGCCGGCGTAGCCGTTGCGGGCCAGCACGTTGTTGTCGTGGTGATAGATGGTGTTCAGCCCGTTCAGCTGGTACCCGCTGGAGCACAGGTTGGCCTCCCAGTTGTCCAGCCCCCTGGCCTCCCCGCTGTGCGGCCGCAGGCCGGGTGGGGCCAGCTTGTCGTGGGCGTAGACGAAGGTCTCGCGGTGCGCCCGGGCCACGACG